TTTACAGAGTTTTACAGGCCAGCAGAAAAAGAGAATAAACAAATAGAGAACACATTTAAGATAGACAATACATTTAAGATATAGTGGCCAGGTGCCTAGTAGTTACTAAAGAAGGGAGTTATAAATGTTGAAAACAAGCAAAAAGCTACAAGGATCTGTGGTTCTGAACTCCAAGTAGAAGGATCTATATGAACTTCTGGTTTTACACATACACACACATATATGTAAATGCATGTTCTTTAGTTCTTTCCACTGGAAGCAGTAACACCCTAGAAGCAATGAGCATAACTAGAATCAAGATCCTGTTCTCCACTCCAACCAAAGTAGGGAAATATAAGATTAGCTTTAAGCATCTTAATGTCAGCAAATGCAGAGAGAATGATGAGGACATGTCAAAAGCCACACCAAAAAAAGCTTGAAGGAATTTTCCATATTCATATCAGAGGGTAATAATAAAAGTAATAAAATTATAATTCATTTACTTAAGAGTCTGCCTGAACACAGTAAGGTAAATATATGAGAAATAAGCAAACAAATGCATTAGGTTTGGGGACTGGAATTAATATGTACATGGTTTCAACATACCTCCCACAAATAGCCATTAACTGTGATTCAAAACCTTACCTCTTTAAATGTAATATTTACCTACCTACCTACCTACCTACCTACCTACCTACCTATCTTCATTTCATGTGCATTGGTGTTTTGCCTGCATGTAGACTTGGTATCTTCTTTCAAAGTCTGAATGACACAAATTTTCTATTTCATAGCAGTATCATGTAAAATGTTGGCTGGTCTTGTTTATATGGCTACTATATTACACTTAATATCATTAACAGCAAAGTCCCTTTGGTACTAGGTAAACCAACCGGCACAGTATGGAACGTCGTCAACAATGGTCCTGTCTGCCTTCTGTGTTTATCTAAAATAATCCTTCTGACAATTATTTAGTACAGTTAGTATCCAGCGTTCATGTTAATATTTTATTAGTACACTTCTCATGAAAATGCTTTCTTATGTACATCTAAGTATAGCACACATGTGGTGGTTTGAATGAAATGCCCCCTGGGCCTATGGGGAGTGACACTTACTAGGAAGTATGGCTTTGTTGGAGGAAATGTGTCACTGTAGGTAGGCCTCAGAAGCTCAACCCTGGCCTAGTGGCTCACTGTGCCCTCCTCCTGCCCACAGTGGCTCCAGATATAGCACTCTCAGCTACCTCTCCAGGACCATGTCTGCCTGCGCGCCATTATGCTTCCCGCCATACTGACAATGGACTAAACCATTATCTCAACTGTAAGGCAGCCCCAATTAAATATTTTTCTTTTATAAGAGTTGCCATGGTCCTGCTGTCTCTTCACAGCAATAAACCCTAACTATACATTTAAACTCCTTGGCTCCCACTCACAAACTCTGGCCATTTTTACCTCTTCAACTCACCAGATGTTTAGACCTCTAAAGATGCCCTACTTTGACAGGCGGCAGGGAGAGGGCCTTAGTTACTCAGCAGAAGCTTCAGGGATCACCAGCCCACTGTCTTGACTCAATCGATTCTCAACCATGTCAAGGGCTTACGCTGGGATTTAATGGGACGGGGTGAAGTGGTGGGTGGTAGTGGACTCCCGATTTTTCAGTGTAGACATGAGATACGAGAGCAAACACAGCAGAACTCTTGCAAATCCTGCTGCTCAATTTCACTTAAATATTCTAGAAAAAGCAAGAAACTATAAACCAAAACCCCTTAGCTCTGGAAAAAAAGAAAAAACAAAAAACAAAAGAATCTAAATTACTACTATTTCCACATTTATATCATCCACTTCTAAATGTCAGTGAAAAGAAAATTAAATACTTTAAAATCCTTTCAATATCTGTCTGACAAGGAAAAAGTAGTTAGAAATTTCAATCATAGAACAACTTCAATTTTATAACCTACTCTGTAACCACCAACTTAACTACATGATGGAAAATTTAAAATGTTCTCTAGACTAAGTTGTTAACTCGGTCTAAAACTCTAACTTTCCGAAGGCCTCCAGAACTATATTAAAACCAGTCATACCAGAACTTTGAGTGTGAATGGCTTCCTTACAAATCCTATTCTCTCTAAGCATAAAGAATCAGAAATTGTGTAGAATGCCTTCCACAAAATTCTAAACAGGATTTTGTAACAGTTCCTACTTAATGACCATTACAGTACATACCCATCAATTAGAATAATTATAAGAATTGCCAATGTAACAGATTCAGACTAAACTAGGGAACTGGGGGCATAAATGGAACATTTGTTCCTTTGTACCATCAGAGACTCATTCCAGATGTTATACTTCATACTGAAGAAGAGCTATTCAGATCAAATAAGGTCTCCATGCAAACATTAACTTAAGTTTTCTTTTTAAAATACAATTTGTCTTTAAGATCACTATATTGAAATCCCATCCAGCAGGTTCTTATCTAGAAGGAGCTGTAGCAACAATACTCCCAACAAACAAACAATAAAAACAATTCAATGACAAGCTCTACACTACAAACAACACAGAGGGGTCAGCCCCACTACGGAGCACTCTCAGACTAACAAAGCTCTTGAAGTACGACATCCTATAGATAGCAGAGATAACTCCAGATTCACTTATTCTATAAGTGAGTTTGTCAATGATGTATTTTTCATAAAGGGTAATCACAAGAAACAAAAGGTTTTTAAAAGGGAAAGTACTTGAATATAAATCAGAGTACTAATAACTGATCAGAAAACTCGAATATTGAATCATTCCAAGAGGTGTTTCTAGCATTCTACCAAACAATGCAAATGCCAAACTGGTGGTCCGTGTACCACATTCAACAGCAACAGAGAATCTGTACTCTGACAACAGCAAAAATGTGAGAGAGCATATTTAGTCTCAAACAAACAAAAAGTTCTTCAGTGATATTTTCTTGAGGATTTATTTTTCTTTTAATGTGGAATCAAAAGTCTTAATTTGTAAACATTTAGTAGCTTCACCCAGTGGGGTAACTTTCTATGGAGCAAAATCTCCCACATTCAAACAAAGGGAAGACTATGTAACTGATAACTGGAGAAGAAACATGCACTTGCAGAACAACTGCATTTCAAATGTTCCTTCTCATGTGAAACATAAAGATTCCTCAAGGAAGTAGACTCTATACAGAGACAACAAATTTGAAAGATCAATAAATGACAGGGCACTTACATTATTAAGTCTCTTGTGCATCCTTTTGTCTTCTGAATATTTGCTTTTCCTTAACTTTAACAAAATGTTTAAACACAATACAACTGTCAACACTCTAAACAGACTACTGTTCAAAATACAGACGCTGAAGGATACACACTACACTACACAAAAGCTGATGAAAGGTGCCGAACCTAGTACATCATCAAGTACACAGCTCTAAATCCTTTTGTCAATTCTCAATATCTGGTTATTTTAAAATGGATACTTGTGGCAAAGGGAAGGGACAGTTTGAATGGGTGCATTGGTCTGAAGGACCTTTCAGAGCTGAGTTGGCCACTTAATGGCAAGAGTTTGTTTTACTTTTTAACATGCCAGTCTCTATTACTTCAGGATGGGAAGTTAAGACTACATAATGTAAATCAAGTGTCTTACCAGTGTAGCTTGTATGTAACAAGGAAGAAAGACCACCTGAAATAAGAAGGTGGAGTAAGAATCTGACCCTGTCCTCATTTACTCAATTCTACCACAAAACTCTGTTAGAGGATTATTAATGAACCCGAAAACAGAACACCAGACTTGAACAGATAAATTCATTACCAAAGCAAAAGGTAAACTATTCCATAACACATTATACACTCCTAACTGGGAGGAAATGTCCCCTAAATTGGTTTATGTGGTTGTGTAATATGCACACTAATGTCCTCTTTCACTAAAACGAAAACACTGCATCATACATAAACAGACTAAATGTTCCAGTGATGTGGTTTCATGCACAATGAGATCATGAAGCAACTTAGTACAGTTTTTGTCAAGTGATAACTGCTTGATGCCACATATGTGCACGCCACTAACCACCGTTCTCTTCCTACTACCTTCAGAAACACCACAGTAACTCACTTTTTAAAAACAAGGTAAATATTTAGGAATCCTACTCAAAACAATTAGGCAAAAAAGTAACCAATTCTGAAAACCTAACCTGGCGGGGGAAAAAAAAAAAAAAGACGGAGCAAACAGAGTAAACAGATAAAGTTAAGGGCTTTGGTATGAGTTAAGGCATTCCTATTTCAGTCTCATCGTTTCTATAGTGTTGACACTGGGCCCGTTTCTCGATTGTTCCAAACTTCAGTTTCCTTACGTGGATCGTGGTAGACACAGCAACATCTACTTACTATGGTTGTAGAAACTGCTTGTGCTAACACAAGCGAATCACTTACATGTCCAAGATCATAGCTTCCTCTTCAACATTAGCAATTATATTCTATTACCTACAAGGAGAAAACTAAGGCATCCCTAGTACTTAAGTTAATTTAGAATGCAGACGTTTGAGAGTTTTATAAAGCCTGATTTGTGTTAATTCAAGTGACCGTCAATAGAGAGAAACAAAAAAGTTAAGGCAAAAATCTGTAATGAGTGCAGCACACATGACTCTGCGACCCTACTTCACTGGGATCATTCAGGCCATCCTAGGAGTGTGCCAGGGGCAACCGTGGGATTCTGGAGAACTTTTAATACCGAGGGAAGGCTGTGAAACCGAAGCAAAACAAGGGAGTGTAGATGCGATGAGACCCGGGCCGGGGATAAAAGGCCACAACCTCGCTGCAGCGCGGGGCTCAGCTTCACCCGGTTCTCCCAGCGCTGCGGCACCAAACACTGGCCCGCGCCGTCAGGCTACGGCTACCGGGACTTCGGGCCTCGGGACAACCGGAGGCCGCGCCGGGATCCGCGCCGCCGGGCGCAGCTCAACCCCGCCGACTCAGCGAGCAGGCCCGGCGCCGCCCCACCTGAGGCCCGGGGCCCAGCGCGCGGCCCGGCGGTTACCTTCCGCGGGAAACTCCTCGAACTCGTCGTCCTCTTCCAGGAGACCCAGGTCGACAGGCTGTTTCTTCTCGGACATGGCGCTCCGCCAAAGCCCACACCGCTCAGATCGGCCGCAAAGTTAGGAGCCTCCGTACTCGTCAGGCGCCGATACTGCCAACGCCGGCGCGACCATAGAGACTAGCCAGGAAGAGCTACGGGGCAGCGCGAGGCATGCTGGGATAGCGGAGGTCCGCCCAGCGCTTCCTGCGGCTGCAGCCGGTCTCTTCCTTTCAAACAGTGGAGTGCTTGGTATTATAGTTTCTTCATTCGTTTTATTATTCACGTAGTTGCCTGGCTGTGAACGCGTTACAGTGTTTAAAGTCACTCAAGACCATTACTTAGCTTATAATCGAGAAAAGAAATCTAGAAGTATGAAGTAACTTACATCCGCTAAGAGGCAGGCCCTTAATTTAACATTATCCCACTGCTCAATCCAATTCCTTGAGCGTGCTGTTAGGTATCTCCACACCACAGGACACTCAGGACCAGAAGCAGCACTAGACTCATGTGCTAGACAATCCTGACTGCCCTCCAACTTTTCCTTTATGCTATGTCTCTTGATTATAGAATTGTGTGAGATAGGGTCTTTTTGGTTTGTTTTTGTTTACGTAATTAGTTGACAGATTGGTGTAAAATAAACGAATAAAAAAACTATGTAACATTTTATTGTTTTTCAAAGGGCATAATCTGGGTTTCGTTTGATTCCTTTTAAATGTTGTGGCACATGGGAAAAAAACTGGACAATGACAACTGTGGGAAGGGTTGGTGCCTAAATTAAGCACATAGTAATGTTTGCAGAGCTTGTAAGTCTATGTTCTATGGCGTCTAAAAAGAGTCTTAGGTGACTCACCTAAGTTCTCTGTAGTATAATTTATTTATTTGCAGCACCACAGTTAAGGTTATGCATATAATATGCAAAGTCACAAATGCAAGTGTAACTCTATTAGGTGATAGGAAAATTGAAGTAGGTCTGATATTCAGGTCTATAATCGCTACTACTCAGGGGGCTGGGGCAGAAGGGATCCTTGGCTACAATATGACTTTAAAATTAGCTTGAGCAACTTAGTGAAACCCTGTTCCCAAATGAAAAGTAAACAGAGGACTAGAGATACATCTCAATGGTTTACTTCCCAGTGCCAGAAGAATTTGGAAAAAAAAAAAAAAAAAAAGGAATGGGAAAAATGGTTGAACAAATCACAAGTGATTTGTAGACATAAATATGAATAAAGTGGTATGTTTTTTAAAGAGATATATCAGCCGGTAGGAAGCAGAACATCTTTTGTAGGAAATACCTTATTTTATACAGACACTCTGCCCTAGTATCATTTGCATTGCTATGATAAAATAGCCTGGTGAAAAGCAACTCAGGGGAGAAAAGTTTCCTCTGGCTTGCAATTCTAGGTTGCAGTCCATTATTGCAGGAATGCCAAGAGAAAAAAAAAAAAAAACAAAACTTGAAGTAGCTTTCACATCCACAGTCAGAGAATGAATGTGTGCTTGCTGTTTGTGTTCAGTGCTGTCTGTAAACTCACACAGTCCAGGATGCCCTGCCTAGTGAATGGCCAGCTTGGAGTGGGCAGGATTTTCCATCTCACTTAATGTAATCAGGACAGCCCCTCATAGACATGCCCAATAACAATTATCTTATTAAGACTTTTTTCTTTCCAGGTGAATCTATTCTGTGTCAGATTGGCAATTAAGACTAATCATCACGCACACAGTTTCCTGGTCAAATGTTCACTCTTTTGGGATCTATAATATTAACTCACTTTCCCCTGAAGCAGATGGATGCTGTAAGAATAATGGACTCTTCCCTATTCAATCGGATTCTGGATACCCGAAGCCAACTCTTGTGAAGAGGCTTAAATCCAATCCGAAATAAGTTGGTTACCACCATAACATTTGTGCTACTCTTGTACTCATGGGTATACGCTATTGCACTGGTCATTATCAAAGTTCACAGCATTTACAGCCAGGTAAGACAGCTTTCTCCACCTAGCATCTTGCATGGCACCTTCCCATGAAAGCTAGCCAGCAGGGAGGAAGCTTCTTGATCAGTACTAAGTTGATTTCTCCACATTTTGTGACCAATGACATCTTAATTTTATAGCTGAACTTTTTTTTTTTTTAATTGAAGAACCACTAATAGCATTTGAAAGCACAGGCAACTCTCTGAAGAGAGGAAGGTGTTTGTTTTCAGAGGGCTCTTACTCTGTAATCCTGCCTGGCCAAGAACTCACCATGTAGGCCTGACTGTAGTGCAATTCGTAGAGCCTGCCTTGCCTCCTAAGTACTGGGATTAAGGCATGTGCTACCATGTCCAGCACTCTTAAAGCTTTAAGTGTAGAGCACTGTAATGTCAAATGTAGATGCTCTGTTATACAGCACATTTCTAAAATTACTCATTATATAATAACATTCTTAAAGAATATGTTTTTAAAATTAAAGTATAGATGGCCCTCTAATTTGGGGTGGGGGGGAGAGTTGTCTGTGTTACCATGTTGTCTTGGAACTCACTCTGTATACCAGGCTGGCCTTTAAATCAGAGATCTGCCTGCCTCTGCTTCCCAAGTACCGGGATTAAAGGCCTGTGCCAGCACCGCCTAGCTAAAATGCAAAGAATTTAAGAGGTTAGATCTTATGTTGTCATCTTACAATAAATCATCATCATCATAATCCCAGTAGGGTTTACACTTAGCTTCAGATATCCAGAGTCTACTTGCAAGTCCCCATTTCCCCTGTCTCTGATGTCCACCCCTGTATTTCCTGTTTCTATGATGACCTTTTCTGGATACCCCATTTTATGATTTAGTTCTTAGAGATCTCTGGTGGTCCATACACTGAAGTTTGTTCAGCAGCCTACGGCACTGTGGTAAGGTGATGGAAACTTGGAGTCTAGTATAGGAAGTTGAGTCTTGGGGGACATGTCCTTGAAGAGACTGTACATAAGCTGCTTTCCTATACACATCCCCTACCAAGCTGTTCAGCTTCATCACAGGCCCCCAGACTACAGAAACCAAACAGCCATGGACTAAAAGCTGTATAGTCATGAGCCCAAATAAATTTTTCTCTCTTTAAACCATTTTTTTTTTTTAGAATAACACACTTTATCTAAGTTAAATCAGGCCGTTTTTATGCTTCTGCAGCAGGCTTGTTTCACTTAAAATAATGTCCATCCCATGATGCTTTTGAGAAACATGCATTACACATGGCTGACTTTGCTTAATCGTATACCAATTGTTAAGCTTCATCCATTGATGGATATACAGTTTATTTCCATGTCTTGACTAGTATAAATTATGCCACAGTGACCTTGGAAGTAGACCTACCTATCTCATCACTCTCTTCCTTGCATATTCTATGGTTATATAGACTATATTGTCACAAGTAGGACAATAAGGTCACGTGCAGTTCTAGTTTTAGTTTTTCTGAGAAGCATCCTTTCTGTTTTCCATTTCTCAGTCCTACCAGTACAGTGCAAAAATTCTCCAATTTTAATAATTTTCATAGTTTGCTGTCTGTGCTTTTGGATTATAGCCCTTCTAATTGGTGTGAGGTATCATTTCATTGTGGCTCTGATTTGCGTTTTCCTGATGACTAGTAATGGTGGGAAACTTCTCATGTTGCTTATTTTTATGTCTTTTGTGGGGAAGTCATTTGTTTATATTTTAATTGAGCTACTCTGGGTTTTACTATTTAATTTCAGAAGTTTTATTTCTGTTGAATATTAACCTATCAGCTGTTTGGTGAGAAAATATTTCCTCTAATTTCCTATGCTGTCTTTTCACTGTGTTAGTTAGTTCCTTTACGTTGCAGAAGCGTAGGAACTTTTGAGTTTTAAGTCCTGCTTGTCTGTTCTTGTAGGCGCACACACACACACACACACACACACACACACACACACACACACGCACACACATGTGTGAGCAAACCTACTTACAGATTCAATAATACTATGAGGATTTTATATCCAAATCATTCTTCATTTTGTTATGATACCTGCCTCTCCCCCCAAAAAAAACTTTTTACATTGGATGGGGGGCGGGTATCATGACAAAATGAACTGTCTGGATAAATAAAATAGAAAAAAACATAATTTTAAGATATCTGATCTTACTGTAATTAGCAACCAACAAAGAAAATATTATATAAATCCAAAAGTTAATAATGAGAAGTACTTAAATCTACCATGAAGTAAAAGCACAGCCCAAACACCCATCTTGCACCAAAATGCATGTTCAAAAATCGATATTTGCATGCCCAAGACTTGTTTGAAAAGGTGATTATGGTCTCACAAGCAAATCATAAGAATTTTTAAAATTTTGTAAATGCTGTATTTATATGACAGACAAGAACCACTCTGAAGGAATCATTATGGTTTGGGAAATGATATGCAATTTCAAAATCATCTAAATCATTTCAATTGCCTGTATTTACATTTATATAATGGGTATTTATAATGGTGATTATTTTAGAACTTACCTTGTTTTGCAGGATCGCGCATTGGTTTCTATGGGAACCAGAATGGCTCTGAAGAGAAGCGTTTTAAGAACTCTTTTCACATTCAGTGACTGTTAACTGAACTGTAAATTCTGTTTGTTAACGGTTTTTAACACTCAGATTTTAACATCTCAAGAAAAAAAAAGTTGAGCATTTTAACTTTATAAATCATTTTAAATAATAAAAAATTAATGAAACATCTGGCATATTGAAACATTTTTACAAAAACAAAATAATTAGCTTTAGGAGCTAATGATCTGTTCCCTTTACTGCATTCATCAGTGATTAAGCCACACTGGCCGTGTGTTATTACTTGCTCTGGGGAAGCAAAGCAAAGCTTCATGTGGTACAATGTTTCTATGTACTTTATCTGCTGGAGACATATGGATATCTATTTTCTTACTTTTGTAGAAAGTCCTTAAGTAAACAAAGCAAAATGTTCTGCTTTTAAGTTTCCCTCTGCCCACACCTCATCCATCCTACAATTATTTACCTAGGTCCTCTGTTCTACTTTGGCTGTGAGTTGGGACTCTATCCTTGTTCCCACACCACCTGGAACTTATTTTTACTGTTTTTAAAAACAAGCTCCAAAGTCTTCGAATTTCGATTTTTCTTTTTCTTGGACTAGATTTGTAGATCATAAAAATCCAA